GATTTCACGGTTTAGGCTAGCCACCTAATCCTGAGCTCCTTCTATGTTTTGTTCGATATTACTTACTACATATGAACCATCTCATCAAAGAAACTTTTCCAACCCTTATTTTCCCTATCGCTCGACGGACCTTATCCCTTGTTCTTACTGTGTGGCACCAGCTGTTGTTCTATTGTTGTGTCCTTGTGATGAGCTTCTTCGTTACGGGGCTTGTCGAAGTATTTTTCCTTCCCACATCTGACCTCAGCTGGTTCCCTCAGAATAATGCCCTCTCTGTTCCTTGCTGTATTCACTAGGATGTGTCTTTAGAATAGCGACGTCATGCTTTTGTCAACAGCAAGAAGAATTTCCTTCAATCTCGACTACCCAGCCTATCACCTGAGGCACCTACTTATTTCGACGCGTACTTGCTAGCAATTGTATGCGTCAATCTGCTTCACGTCTCTAGAAATTCATCCAATATCACATTTCCTTGACCTCCTCCGTATCACACTGAGTTTCTTTTGCATGCTGTAAGATGACTACCGCTGCGTTATTCTAAGTTTTCTCGCGGATTCGGGATAACATCTCCCAGTATAAGCAAGCCCATTCAAGAACACATGCTGCAATTGATGAAAGACCAGAGAAATTTGAAAGGCTGTCAAGCTCTACCATCAAATGAAATGGTGCGACCATAGCGGTGATAGAGACACCACTCTTTTTCATTTTTCTGGTCTCATTCTCGTCCAGCCCCCATTTTAACGATTTTTTTGAAGCCTCTTTCACTTTGGGAACCGACTCACGCAGTTTCTTCGCCTCATCGCACATTCTCCATCTTTTCTCGATTTTTCGTCATAATCTGGATTAGTCAAAATCATCGTGAACTGTGCCTTCGAGAAGATCTAGAAACGAAGACTTGCTGTGGGCGACATCTTGGATGACAGGAACTACGTACTGTTCCTTCCGCTCCATAATAGCACTGGTTTATCTGTCCCACGGGCACACAGGCGATACCACACCCCACCATGCAGCAGACACTTTTCCGTTGCGTTGATACTGCTGGCTTTTCTAGCGCCGTTTCCATCACTTTCACAGGCACGTGATCGTTATACATGAAACTGCATAGAGATTATCGAAATTATTCACGAATACAGTCGTTTGCAAGGCTTCTTCGTAATAGATGAGCTTCTTCATGCATTGTTTTATATGAATTGTAAGATAGATGAATACGAAGCTTTCGCTTCGTTAACCAGTATGAATAAGAAAGTAATCCATAGACAAAAACACGTAGGAAAGTTTGAAATGACAGGCAGGCCTAGATGGCACGGCTTCGGTCTGTGCTATTTACAACAGTGATTAAAATCACAATATTAATTCACAATCGGTGCGAATCTTTCTGTATTACTTCTGAATTAGAATTGTAAAGACTTATTTGGGCACAACTCGAGTTCACAGACTTTCATAGAGCCCATGATGTCTGAGGTGGTGATTATGCCGTAAAAGCTGACGATTTTGCTAGAAACCTTGCAATGCACTGTACAGGTGTAGCTGTTGGTGTGCACTTATGCGAGAATACATACTTACTATATTCCTAGATCTGCAGAAAGCGTAATCTTAACCTTGCACTTGGTCGTATCCCCAGTGTTTCTGGCATGTTTGCAATTTATCTTCTGTGTCTTCTGTTAAAGAGAAGAAGTCCTGAAAGAAAAAAGTTGACCCTATCATAGATGAAGCTGTTGGTAGATATTCTGAGTTGTATGCTTCCCGCAGTATTTCATCTTGTGTTTCTCAACACTCGAACTCAAGTCAGGGAGCTCGCAGGGACTCCAAGGCGAAAAGCATCGGGTTGAGGCCGAATAGTGGCAGGGCCCCATGTGACAGCTGCACATCGTCGTGGACATCAGTTTCTGGGAAATTTTATTATTTCATCTACGAACCTGCCTCGACACTTCACCTGTTGATCATAAATCGAAAGTCACACGGATCCGCGAATGGCGAGACACCTCATTGGCGGCACTGGTTTGTTGTCACGGCCGGGATTCCTTTAGATTTTTTGCGCTGAGATTACCTACTCACATCACGGTATCAAGACCATGACAATCATACCCGCAGTGTTGTTTCACTGTAACATATCGTGTCCTTCATCTTATGATCACTACGTGACCACTTATACAAGCACCCTTTTCGGACAAAGGATTGGGTCTCTTAAAATACTGCATGAAGCTAGATTAAGAACGGGATTAAGTCGTTTGGTATAGCTTCATTACATTACATAATCACGTCTACGGATGAGCAGGTATCCTTGGAAATTGAACACTATGTTGGTTCCAGTTCATTTTTATTTATTATTTAGTTATTTATTTATTTATTCATTCATTTATTTATTTACTCATTAATTTATACACTCACAGAGTGCACCCTAAAAGGAAAATCAGGGCATAAGGTAATAGCTAAACCATAACAAACAAACTGAATAGGCCAAGTCAAATTATATCAGTCCGCTGGATCACGCGACGTATGAAGAATAGAAGAGGCGAAATGGGTTGGCCCTGTTGCACTGCAGCGTTGGCAACTAACACCCCAAGATCGAAAAAAGCCAGTATTCACACCAGTTGGCCATGGTGTCTCGTCCCAATAGGAGTCATAGGACAGAGTCCGCACTTCGACGCACGGGTATGCCAACCTCTCACGTGGAACCGACTCGTCGGAAACTGGCGAGACAACGTAACGCTGGAGTTAGAAAGTACAGGCAGTACCGAGCAAGGCAAGAAATAAAGTAATCAAGTCTGCATAGAAGGAAAGGAGCAACGGGCTGATATTACACACTTCAGCTCAGGATCGAGGGAAGAAGCAAGGAAAAAACAAACAAAAAAGATAAGAACATCAAAAACTAAACAAGACACAGCACCATATGCGACAATTGAAACCAATTAGAAAAAAGCGGAACAATGTAGACGACCATTGTTAACTCAACCAAACCGAGGAGCAACGCATCAATATCATGCACAAGAAAAGCCAACAAACACCGTCCCTTGCAGTATCCGTTATCCCTCTACTACACGTTAGTCCACAGTCCAACAAGCTGACGAGACTGGCAAGACGAAATGGAAAAATAGAAAGCCTGTAGAAAGCCTGTAAATACCCGATGAAACGAACTCAATTATCCAAGCCAAGTAACTCTATCAAATCGATGTTCCTCGATTTTCTTCTATAGGACTCACCATTTGGCGATTGCAGTACCTCACGAGGAAGCTTCTCAAGCCATCTTGTCGTACGGAAGAAAAACGAATAGAATGTCTGCGTATAACGAAGCCTATGTATTCTCCTACTTTGGAGAATGAACCCATTAGATCTGGCACTATTCGGTCGAAAGGTCCAGTAATTGCTGGCTCTAAGCTTGACTTCCTTTCGGTTGATGCGGGAACCAAAGATGAGATCCCTTACTACACGCCTTTCTCTAAGACTCATCAAGCCGAGCCGAACATTTTTTTTCAACATTTTCGAGCGCTCATCATAGCGAGGAGTAGACTTGTACTCTGTTTTGGGAAAGGACTGAAGAAACAGTATTCTAGTGAAAGTTGTTGAATCTTTTCCCCTTTGCATATATCCTTCTGCAGCCATGGGCTCTATACTTGAGAACAATCCTCTAGGTGTGGAAGGAAGAAGGCCTTGTAGAGTCGCACTAGGATTCTATGATCATTGCACAGTACATTTCGTAAAATTAAAAATAGAGCAGCAAATGCCTTGTTAACAACTCAATCTATATGAGCAGAGAACTTGAGATCTGAGCTGAATAGTATGCCCAAGTCCTTCGCAGAGGGAACTCTTGCGAACTCAGTTCCGTCGATAGAGCACTTCCAAGGGAGGCCACCCCCAATATAAACAACGTAGAGCATTTACTCAGATTAACAGGGAGGCTCCACAAAACTACCCATTCTGTCAGCCTTTCAACAAAGTGCTTGAGAGCGAGCTGAATTTCATTGTGATTTACAGTACTGTAAGAAGCATATATTTTGATGTCGTCAGCATAAATTTGAGTTTCAACGAAACTAGAGGCCTTAATGAAAGCTGGGAGATCAATGGTGTATCAATCAAAGGTATAGCAAAGGTGATAGCACACTCCCTTGCGGTACTCCACTGCGCCAGACATGCCATTTTGAAAAGGATCGACCCACTTTCACAGTCATATACCTGCAACTAAAGTAAGACTTGAACCAGCCATGCAACTGCCCACAGATTCCAAGGCTATCCAGCTTCATGAGGAGCTTTGAATGACAGATCCTATCAAAAGCTTTAGACAGATCTATGAAGATCACATCAACAGCTTCACCACTGTTAAGGGCTGTGGTCCAGTCAAAAACTGAATCAAGTAGATTAGATGCAGTGGAGGCCACGCTCAGGACGCAATGTTGTTCTTCCGGAATGACATTGAATTTCAGAAGTCAATCAAGGATCCTATCTCTAATAAGTCTCTCCACGGCCTTGGGAGCTGTAGGGGTGATGCTGATAGGCTGAAAATCGGATAAAAACTTGCTGTCAGATTTCTTAGGGAATGCTGTAACTACTGTTTTTTCCAAATGTCAGGGACTTCTTCGAGAAGCATGGATAAGTTGAAAATATGCGTCAAAGGCTGACAGAGTGAGCTCGCACATTTACGATGAAGAATCTGAGGGATGCCATCGTAGGGCTCAGCCATAGAGGGTTTAAGGTGCACCAGCATCCTGTAAACATCCTGGGGGTGGAAGAACATATGCTAGAGACGGTGATTGATTGGGATTTGACTGTTCGATTCGAAACCGTCGTTAGAATCATCATGCGAGAAGACACTAGAGAAGTAGTTTTTGAGAGCCTAGGCTTTCTAAACATCAGAGATGAAGAAAGAACCAGAGGAATCGAAGAGCTTGGGTAATCCTGACGGAGGCTTAACTCTGTGCTTAATAAAACGAAAAAGAATCATATGGTTTTCTCATCGAGAAGATAATGTTGCTGCTTCATGAATGCTCTTGAGATTATGTATCCAGATGTGTCAGGTAGAGTACAAGCAAATGAATGGGTCAGTTAGGGAACAGAGATCTGCACTGGCAATGGTAATGGCGTTTATGCCGAAGACTGGGAAGCCCTTCTTGAGACAAAGTTTGGTGCCATGTTTGGGTATGCCACCAACTGTTTCATTGACCCAATTGAGATGAGCACCTGTTTCTCTATTTTGGACACTTTAGATAAATTAAATAGATAGAGACGATTTTCGCGGAAGAATACTTCTTCTAGGATTTTGCTGTGGATAATCATTTTCTAATACTGCTTTTCAAACTGCATTTTACAGCTTATATTGTGAAAAACAAGGACAATGTTTTGCTGCATCATGTTTGTGGCAGTGTGCCAAGCTTTCCACTGCAAGAAAGACCGGCACTTCGCCAGGGTGTATGGAATAGAGGCATTATTGCAGTTGTGAACTTGACAAATCCTTGCTCACTTCCGATCCTATCCCTTGTCATGTAATAAAATACAGAATAGTACAGTTCTTCCAACAAGACAGAGGCACGATGCAGCAGATATAAGTATCTACCAAGCATTCAAGGAACTTTAAGGATGACTGGGAAAATGGATGGCAAACGAAATAATGCAGATCATACAGAAAGCGGTGTCAATAAATATTAGTTTGGAAGGACAGTCCTACAACAAAAAATCTGGAGCGTCAGCAATTTCTATCAAATGTGTGAACACGGTAGCAAGAGTGATAACCTTGTAGGACATTCCTCAGGTAATCAACGCATGAGTAAATAAGGGCACGCGTGTGGGTTTTAGCAGCATTACGGCCAATCAACGGACAACACCCGATTCGTACTATCACCTTCTACTAAGCACACCAAGGAAAAAACGCGGGCGTAGCGGCTCAAATTATCAGCAACCTAGTCGATGCGAGTACCGCTCACCGATCAGCGGTCAGCAATCGGTTGGATCGCTTCACTGGAGGAGATACTAGCATTCGAATTAACGCAAGCATCGTCCCTTAATTTAATGGAGGTTGAAGGAATCCATCCACTATGAGTTGCTAAACGCAGACTAGATGGACACAGCTATCGGTCACCCCTATGAACTCCGGAGTTTGGCTAACAGGGTTAGAGAAGGACGATTAGAACCGTAAATCAGGTCTCTTTAGAGGGAGAGCGCACGTCAAAATTTCGCTTTAAACACGCGTCAAAAGTTTTACGATTCGAATTGGTTCCAGGTTGTTCATCAGTCGTACTCCCTAAGTGTTGCCCTTTTACCTACCATGCACACCGCCTTTTTGAGCATATCGTTGTGGAAAAAAATCGTAACATAGTGTGGTCTGAAGACGGCAGTCAATTACTTCTTTGAGTCACAGCTTCCTCACTCCTTGATAAAAGGCATCAGTGATTCACCAAAAGGATAGTAGAAGGTTGTTCACTTCTTTGGTAAATATATTTCCGAAAATTGATTGGCCTGGAAAATTTTAGAAATGATTTGAAAAAGACCTTCGTTGTGTTGCAGGACTTTTCTTCCAACCTAATAATAAGGAAACAGTAAGAATAATTTATATCGAGCGAAAATTTTCCGCAGAAAATCAGTCGCTTCTGTTGAGTTCTATGGAATCGAATCGAATAACAAGCAGTTCCAACATTTTAAGTCTACACATGAAACCAGCAGAGAATTGGCTCGCTTTCCTCAGTACCAATAAACAACTCTGACAAGATATCCGGAGTAGGAATTCGTCTTTGGGCAGCAACAACACTCACTATAAACATCGCACTAGTGCAACATCAAGAACATTCTCGTCCACTAAGGCTAATTCAAAACTGTCATTGCTAGCTGCATGTTGGAAATATCAATCGCTGTTTCGCGTCGAGGTGCTTGCAGAAAAGCAGTGACTTATCTTGTTGCGCAAGACGCAGACCGAGTGCGCATTTGTGAAGGAAGGAATATTTAGAGGAGCGTGTAGACTGCTCTGCTTCGGGGTTGGAGGGATTTTCGGTTGGAATGAAATGCCCCTTCGATGGGCTCACCTTTTTAGTGGCCATAATGGCACGAAAATGCAGTCATGAAGGACACTTATGACACTGAAGGAAAATTTTCAACCGGAAAATTCTTGAAGAACTATGTATTATTACCCACGAATCTTCTTACCGAAGTTGTTCTATCATTTAATAACATCGTTGCAGATAAGTGCTAAATCGCGGATAAAAAGTAACGGTACTTGTACATAGATACAGGTGGATTCAGTGAGCAGGCTTCCTGTTTCTGCTGCGTTAGGTCGATCAATATTTTTCTCCTCCTCGCCGATGTATCCGTGTTCCGCATGAGATTGTGAAGGGTTTATAGGTGCGATTGGTATACTGCATATCGGCTCATCCGGGAGCTCGTATTCGACTCAATGGTAAGCACTTCAGAACCCGCAGTTGTCTCTAGCCAATTAATCTTGTTCACTCTGAGATAAAGTGGATAACTACACTGAGGCCAGACAGTCCTCACATCAGGGGCTCGAAGTTACTTTTGGGTACATATTTATGCTGAAAACGCAAGAAAATATTTCTGTTCAGAACGACAGTCACTGAGATGATCGCATGACCTTTCGCATCGTTAGATCTTCAATACAAGTTTCCGTTGCAAGCCTTCGTGCATTGAGTGTACAGATCATCATTTCAGACTCCTCTTGGGCCGCCTGTTTTGGCACGATGATTTTGGCAGCCTTTCACACCTTTCCGTATTAGAGGTATTCAGGGGAATGGGACTCATTCAGGTTACTGCTTCTGGCATGTGGGAATCCAAGAATAGCTTGTGCATGGATGCATCTGTGAGACACAGGAGGTTCATTGATCCAGCACAGCAGGACCAGGGACTTCATCTCCTGAATTCACCAGCGTCTCTGGGCGAGTACCGATGACTTTTGATTGGCGATTCACTCCCTATTCGCTACCTGAGGACGTCCTACGTAGCCTCGTCACTGACCGAATAGACATTTCCTTTACTGAGAGAGAACTCTCAGTGAAAGGAATCCGTAACCGTCACATATCATCCACAGTAAGTTGCCGCTTAAGAGGTCCATATCTCTAAAGTATTACAAGCCAAAGGTTGACCTCTCAGTGACTATCGTTCTGAATAGAAATGAAAAATCTCGAAAACGCTATTACTCCACCATGTCTTTTTCCTCTATAAAACTTATGATTCGCGTTGACTTCGGTATTACCTAGCGGACAGCCATATCAGAAATAGTTTTCGAGTTCTTTTGTGTCCTTGGTGATCGAGGAGTGCAGGATGATTTTTCAGAAACCAAGAATGAATGTTGCAGTAAAGTTACAGTTTATATACTGCTCCGGCCCGCCATATCTCCTGGTCAAAACGGGCAGATCAGTCCTATACAAGATCAAGATACTCCACTGACATGGAGTGGCGTGCCCCAACACCTCCCTTCCCCCCCCCCCCTTAACATTGACAGTCCTGCTACGACTTGACGTACGATTAATTTGAAAGAAGTGTGTAGGGCGTTGAATACGGAATGACGTGGCGCGACAGCAGTAGGCGCTTGTGATGCATTTGTTGTCGTCATTGTAGTCGTTGTCATTGTCGCGTCGTTCTCCCTAGCGGAACTGTTGTAGCCACCAGAGATAACGGTAGAGTTGATTATGTCTTTGAAAACCAGCCTTGTGAGGTATTGAAGGGATGCCGAGGGCGTCTGTCAGATCGATTATTCTCTCTGTGAGTGACGTATTCGTAGGTGATTATCACTGCGCTTCCAGATGGATTTAATGTTCTTAGTCTTCCCGACTAAGCGCTTGAATGTGTCGACAAGGCGTCTAGCTTGTCCATTAGACTGTGCCAGAAATGGCTGCGACCGGACGTATTAATTCCGTTGTTTCGAGAAATCCTTGGACTCAGCGGAGTTGGAATGAGTTTTCCTATCTGAGACGATGGTCTGAGTAAGTCCAGATTGAGCAAATGGGCGTCGGAGTTTCCTTAGCATTGTAGTACTGGTGGCGGAAGTCGCTGGAATGATTTCGGGCTATTTGAAGAGAGCGTCTACGACCACCAAATAAGGAATTCCTTAATTGGGCCATTGGGAATGCAACATGGATTCAACTCGGCGCATCTTGGCGACACTACGGAGGCGGTTTTCTGAAGGCAGGCAAACTAGCTTCTCTTTGTCGTCGTTGATCTTCTCTCAGAATACGTGGTTTAGAGCAAGCAAGTTTAGAGCAGTCATTTCATTCCCGAATGACCTTCATGGAGTGCCGTCACAACAGTAGGCTGAAGTGCAGAAGGCCCCCATCCTTGTGTATATGTTATCCCTGTTGCACTAGAAGGTCATAGTCAGGCGGGCGTAAATGGCAACGGGAGTAATGGCTTCCTTGGCTAGTTTGATTTGATTCATTACACGACTGATTCGTGTGAAAATGAACAACGGGAAACAAGCAAAAGCAACTCAAAACAATAAAAATCGACCGGAGAACTAACTTATGCGTAGTTACTATGCCAAAAAAAAANAAAAAAAAACAAGAGTTAGAAAAAAGCTATAATATAACGAAGAAGTGAAGTACAAGAGTAAAACAAAATGCGATAAAAAAACAATACTGTAGACAAAGGAGCAATTAATACCAGCGTTGGGTCAAAAGCCTTTTGAAGTGTGCGAGTGATTTAGGCGCTGGGCTTCGCTTGATAATTTTGTTGAATTCGATACCGGCACGGTGGCAGAAGTAGAATTAGGTCTAGGTATAAAAACCTTGGTGTTGCCCCCACGAGTACGTGAATCACCAGTAGCAAAGAGCCTAAGCCTATCTACAGAGACCACACCGCAGAGGATCTCGTAGAGCATGAGTACATCAAATCGCCTCCTTCTACTTTCGAGGGTTTGCAGACCTAGGATTTGGTTCTTCATAGAGCTTTGGGGAACTTTCGTATAGTCATATCCATGGGCCCATACCATCAATTTCCTAGTGAAGTCATTTTGAACCTTCTCTAAAACCCTAATAAGGGATTTTTCTGAGGATAGTATATCACTGTCCCATATTCCAAAAGTGGACGAATGTGTGTCTTAAATGCTCTTATAATGAGTTTGGAGTCTTTACAAACGAAAGCCTTGTAAAAATTGTATACCTTATTAGTAGCCTTTCTCACAATCATGTTTATGTGTTCATCGAAACTAAGATTACGGCATATGACGAAGCCAAGATGG